ACACACACACACACACACACACACACACACAAACACACAAACGCGCACACACACACACACACACATACACAAACACACACACACACGCTCGCGCGGGGGCGAACCTGCTGTTTTTTTTTTTACTTTTTTTCTTTTTTTTTTATTGATTGATTGATTGATTGATTGATTCGTGGGGAAGGGGTCGCCCTTCCTCCCCCCACATGCATACACACACACACAAACGAAAAAATAAAATTTTCCCTGTTTTTTATTAACTTTCTTTTGATTAAAATACATGTTTTTTGGTTTTTTATTTTTTTAAAATAAGAAAACACTTTATAATCCAAAAACAAAATTACCACGTTGTAGGTCTCTTCAAACCCTACAACCCCTTTTTTTTTTTTTTTTTTGGTCTATTATTATTATTTTTTCAAATGTGTGAAATTCTTAGCCGCACCCAACCGCGGGTCCAACCTCAGCGGTTGGGATCCCGACCACTGGCCGAGATGGACCCCGCGGTCATGACCGCGGGGGATACATAGGTTAGTAGTAATACGTTGGTAGAAGGGTATGTAATTGTAATTAGTAGGTATGATTGGTTGTGACTTAGGTGAAGCGCATAGAGAGTTAATGGGGTGCTAATGGGCTATCTTTCTTATTCCTAACAGGTTTTAAAATGGAATATAGAGATGGCGAACATTGATGGTATTGAGCGAGGTCCGGCTGCTAGGTCGGAGGATATTGTCAAGGCAATAGAAAAGAGTGAGTTGGCGAGACTGCAGGTACCAAAGGTGGACATCTTCTTATTCAAAGGAGAGAAGGTGTCTGAGTGGCTGGAACTATTTGAGTAAGTCACCAGCGAGGCGTCTAAGGCAGACAAATTCCAATTGCTGCCCAGATATGTCTGGTGGGAGATCCGACCAGAGATAATGAAGGTGGCTGCTGGAGCAGCAGGGGTTTGGGCAAGTTTTAAGGAGGAAATGCAAAGGCGTTTCAAGTTGGGAGATGGTCTGCTAACGAAAGCAGACCTGGAAATGTTACATCAGAACGAGTTCACCACTGTGGGTGCACTTGCGACAACTTTCGAGAAGATAGTGAGGAAGGTCCCTGGCATCGCAGAAGAAGAGCAGTGTGCGACCTTCCTAGGGCACTTCACAAATTCTGAGGCCTCTGCGCTTACGAAGAGAGGAGCCCCAGAAAGAAGCTGGCATGGGCCACAATAAAGGAAAGTGTAACGGACGGGGAATTGGACGAAGTGGACCTCTTCCAAATGCCGCAAGCTAGAAAGAGAGAAAGGCCATGGACGCCACGACGAGTGACGGCCGGGACCTTAAGAAGGTTGTACAGGAGGTAGCGGCTCAGCTTGAAGCCACGAAAGAAGCGAATGCTGCAGAAAAGGTGATAAAATTAACGCAGGTTTAGGGAAGAATGAAGAAAGTCGTGGTACAAGAAGAAGAAGAAGAAGAAGAGCCTGAGCCTTATAAGCTAACAAAGGCACAGGGGAAGGCCAGAAATCTGGCCCAATGAGGACAAGGCTCAGGAAAAGGCCAAGGTTAGCAAGCAACAGTAATGCCACCCCCTGAGTCGCATGGTCAGGTTGAGCAAGCGCCCCATGGGTCGTGGCTAGGCTATGGACCTCTAGGTCCCTGGCCGGGGTATAACCCATATGCGCCATGGTCAGTAAGTGGACAACATGGACCCTGTACGGGGGCTCCGTTGAGTATGGCTTCTTGAGGGTGTCCAGGGCCCCAGTCTCAACAGATGAGTCAACCAAACCCACAGCCGAGTCAGCCACAACAGACAACACCGCAAGGATCGCAAGGGAACCAAGGCGGTGGGCACGGACAAGGTCAAGGATGGGGTCGAGGACGAAGAAATGGTGGCCGTGGAGGTGGCGGAAGAGGAAATGGAAATAGCAACTCCAACGGAGGAGGAAACGGGGATTGGAACGCGTCAGGCGTCAAGGTAGTCAAGAAGGTGGACGAGGTTTTGGCTGAGGACGGATAGATTGGCAGAATGCGATTTGCTGACACTGTGGGCAGAAAGGCCATACGATTAAGTTCTGCCATGTTCGCAGAAATGACGAAGATGAAGGGTTGATTAGTCCCAATTATGATAGGATATGAACGATAAGTTTGGGTACTACATTGACCCTAAGACTCCAGGGGGAACAAGAAAGGAGGCCTTGCGACGAGCCGAGGCCGACATGCCACCCGCTCCTCCAACTATGTTCCGGATTTGGCAAGAGGAGGAGGTCCGTCATGATGTGAGAGTGGAAGAAATAGGAGAGAATGAGGAGGTAGAGCAGGAGAGGAAAGCCGACACTGTGAGAGAGGAGCCAATCGTGGTGGAATCAGACGATGAAATCGAAGAGGGTGTTTGGATTGAGGCTCGAGGGACGATGGAGAGGATGGAGGACCTAGTGGCTAAGATGGAGAGCAAGGAGGGTCTGGGAACTTACCAGGCGTGACGATTTCAGGACCGACTCCTCGATCCGGGATGACTTTTAGGCCACCGTCAAGGTCGGGAAGGGCGCCACAGGCAGTCAGGACAAGGGCTAAGGGGTCAATAAGCTCCGATGAGCTAGCGAAAGATGTTCCTGAGCCTAGTGGGGAGAAAGGGACTGTGGATATCCCGGAGGATGAGGATGAAGAGGATGCGAGGTTAAGGAGAAAAGAAGATAAGAGAGCTGAGCAGAGGGCCAAAAAGAGGGGTGTTGAGACTGACACGGACACAGTTCTAGAAGGGAAGAAAAAGAAGTACACTGTCCGAGTGGAGGAAGGTTACGATGTGGAAGAAATGATGGATAAAATCCTTGAGGGTCATAACCATCTTATGAACCTGAAGGATGTCTTGGCCTCAGCCCCAAGGCTTCGAGACGAGCTCAAAGCTCGATTGTCCAAGAAAATGGTGGCTAGCGTGCGACTGGGGGCAATAATCCCCAAAGAAGCAGAATGGTCAGAGACCGGCACAAAGATGGATTGGAAGTCCGTCGCATGTGGATGCTTGGATGTGATAGTGAAGGGGAAAACATGCACGACAATGGTGGATACTGGCGCGGAAATGAACCTCATAAAGGAGGAGCATGTCGTGCGATTAGGAATGGAGATTGATCGCTTCGACAACGGGGTTCTCATGAGAGCGAATAGTCGATCAGTGTTTGTGGGGACCGCATCGGGAGTTATTTTGGAGATTGGGAAAATAAAGGTAAGAAGTTGTTTCTTTATAATGCCTGATCTCGATCATCCCATCCTATTGGGCCGATCCTTCTTAAGCAGAACGGACACCCTCATACTTAACAAGCATGATGAGACAATGTTCCTCGTCTTATGTGACCCAGTGTGTGGCAACAATGAGGTTATCACATGCAGAAATACGAGGGCGCGAAGTATAAGGAACCGGCCCAATCCTGGCTCTTTCACGATCGAAGAGTCGGTAGAAGAGAGGAGGTTGGGAAGGGATGAGTTTGAAGGGGAGAGACAACCGGAAGCGTTGACCCTTAGCTTAGCAAGTATAGGCGATGCAATGGACATAGTGTCGACCTACGGGATGGCGGACCCAAAGGTTGTAGAGGCCCTGAAAGAGAAGGTAATGGAGCAGATGGGAGAGGGAGAGCGGAATTGGTATATCGAGTGCCTGGAAGGGTAGGAGGACAGGTAGGAGCCCAACCCCAAAGTGCAACTCGGCCTTTTTTAGGGGTAGGCTTAAGCAAGGTTCACAAAGGCGGTACCAAAGGATAGATCAAAAGTGTCGCCCAGTTTTTGTGCTCGTAACTGAGGAACGAGAATTGATATGGCAGATGCGTGAAAATGCAGAGAGTGGACCATGTCGTATCAATCACGAAACAGAAGGGGCGTTGATAATAGGAGAGTCAGGTTTTCTTACAGCGCAAGAAAGGCAGTTGATGATAGAGACCATCAGAGGAAGACATATTGCATATACCTTCAATGATGATGGACGTGGCCGTCTTGATGTTGATAAGATTCCGATGATTCGGATACATACTGTGCCACACGAGCCTTGGAACCTGCGAGGTGCGCGATATCCCAATCCGGCTGATGAAATACCTTGATGGGAAGATTCGCACACGTGTCAGACTACTCGAGTGGACCATATACATCCACTTGGTTTTGCTTTGTCAAGCCAAATGGGACTTTGCGATGGGTACAGGATCTGCAACGACTAAATGCTGTGACTGTAAGAGACGTAGGAGGCTTGCCAAATGCTGATGCACTTTCGAAAGCCTGCGCCGGACGGTCTATAATATCACTTATAAATCTATATTCTAGTTATGACCAGTTTCCTGTCTACCCATCGGACATACCTATGACGACGATGCATACGCCTCGGGGACTGATTCATATGAATGTCGCACCATAAGGGTGGACGAATGCAGTCGCAATGATTCAAAAGCATATAGTAAGGGCTATGCAGCCAATAAGTCCTCATATTACACAACCATACATTGATGATCTGGCTGTAAAAGGGTCAAAGGAGAAGAATGAGCAGGAGGTGATGCCAGGGATTAGACGATTTGTCTGGGATCATGTGCAGTATCTATGCAAGGTCATAGACCTACTAAAAGACCATAACCTCACTGCGAGTGGATCAAAATCCAGACATTGTATGCGCGAAGTGACAATCTTAAGGTTTGTGTGTGACGAGAGGGGTCGTCAGCCAGACACTAAGAAGACCAACAAGATTCTCGAGTGACCAACACCATTCGAGACCATCACCGAAGTTAGGAGCTTCCTGGGAACGTGTGGTTTTTGGAGAGTGTTCATTTAAGGGTTTGCGGCAAAGACAAAGCAATTGCGAAAGCTTGTCCTCCAAGGTCAAGACTGGGAGTGGGAAGATAAGCAAGAGTTGGTAATTAAAGGCCTAAAGAAAGAGTTCGAGGAATGAGGGTTAGTGTTGGGGGTACCAGATCATGCCGCCACACTAGCAAGGCCTTTTATTGTGGAAACTGATGCGGGACCAACTCCCTTGGGAGGTGTATTGATTCAGAAAGATTGTAAGGGAGAAGAACGACCTTTGAAATTTGAAAGTCGAATGCTTAACACAACATAGAGGAACTACTCCAAGTTTAAGCGCGAGACTTTGACAGTTCTTCATTGCCTACAAATTTTCAGAAATTACCTCTTTGGCAGGATGTTCGTACTAAGAGTTGACCCGACTACTCTGGCTGGTTCGCTTAAGAATTTCGCTCCTTTGGATCTAACTATTGTAAGATGGCTAACATACATCTGGATGTTTGATTTTGAGTTGGAGCATAATCCTGGGAACAAAAATAGGGCAGATCGGTTGAGTCGCATCGACTGGGATAAGAGTAATAAAGGGGTAGTCAAAGATACTCCGCCAGTCGATGGATTTCTGGACAAGGAGGAGGATGTAAAGCTCCGCGTTACCTCCTGGTCGCTGGTCGTAGGTGAGCTTGTTACTCTAGGACGACCTATATGGCTTGCACCTCCGGGTCATGTACGACGGCCGGACATAGTCCTAAAGCCGTATATTGAGGAAGATTCATGGGGGATGCCAGGAGCAAAACGGATGATGGGCCCTGGCAGACAAGTACCAGTTACATGAGGACTCGGTCATAATGGAGAATGGGCCCCGACAAGTGGAAATGCATGAGAGATTAGTACGGGGAATGTACCTTCTGACAAACTCGCTGCTTCAGGATGAAGTTGCTAGGATTGAGGAGGAAAGGCAAAATAGGAAAGAGAATGTGGTCCACGAAGGAGAGAATGCCGACTTTGAAGAAGGAGAGATAAAAGAGGTCTTTCGCGCCGAAGAGTATGACGGAGTATATCTGGAACTGGGGATGGTCCTTTCATGTGAAATGAGGGAAAGAGATGCTAGCGAAAGAGTCCTTAAGATGCGGCCAAATTTCCTAGTGATCTATTCATGAGAAGTAAAGGAAGGAATCCCGGAAGAGTGGTCTGTGGCATAAATCGATAGATTGATGTTAATGGCCCCCCTTCATGATGGAACGGCAGGTGGCCATAGGAGTGCAGATGCAACATACCTTAAGATTCACGACTTATATTATTGGGATGGCATGGGACACATGATTAACGTTTATTGTAAATCTTGTGTACCATGTCAGGAGCGGTCTTCCCTTAGACCTAGGGAACCACTTAACCCTAGATATATATGTGAGGTTGGAGCGGTTGTTCATTTGGATCTATTGGCATAGAAGGGCCTAATTATATCTTTGATGCACGAGACAATCTCTCAGGATTTGTGGATGACAAGGTTATTCGCACGAAGACAAGAGAGGTATTGGCTCGGTGCATTGAAGAATACTACCTTCGCTATTCTTTCGTCTCAAGATCCGTAATGGACAGGGGATCCGAATTCACTTGTGCGAAAGTGAAGACGCTGCTGAGAGGATATGGTGTGATTGTCGAGTATACGACTGCGACACATCATCAGGCTAACGCACTTGTGGAAAGAGGACACAGTACCATTACAATTCTCCTCGCGAAATGGACAGATGGCAGGCCTAATCAGTGGCAAAATTTCTTGAGAGTTGCCTTCTTCGTGAAGAACATCACTGTCGGAAGGAGTACCAATTACGCGCCGGCTACATACATTGTGGTATGGCAGACATGCGGCGTTCCCTATAGAAAGTTTCCTAAAGACCTCGAGGCGACAAGACCTCGAGGCGACAAGACCTCGAAACGACCCTGTCTTTTGAGGAGTTGCTTGATCTAAGGGCACGTCAGATTGGAGCCATAGAAGATAGAGTTCAAGAAGCGGCGAGTAGAGTGGTTGTCAGTCGGACCAAGGATAAGTTTAGGTGGGACGAGTAAGGAAGGAGCCTCTTAAGGTGGGAGATACGGTGTTGTTGTACGACTCATCCCTAGAGAAGCAGTGGTCAAGTAAGTTGGACAAGCGGTGGTTAGGGCCGTACAGATTCGCGAGATGTGGCGAGCATAAGGCATACCCGATCGAGGAAATGAATGGAACGACATGGAAGGATTGGGTATTAGGCTCCAGATTGAAGAAGCTTGTGGCCCAGGATGAGGTGCGCATAGAACTGGCAAGCCCTGTGGTCTCTAGCTGTAAGGGGAAGACCTTAGTATAACAGAGAAAAAAAACGTAAATTGTCAGATTAGAATGGTATGATAGAATACAAATGACTACTATAACGAAATAAGATCGAAGTTATTATTCTATAACAAACAGAATTAGGAAGTGCAATAGGATTTAAGAGAGAAGGATCATAATTGGAATTGACGTATGATATTCCTTTTGTTGCTATTTCACTTTAAGCATATATACAGTTTGTAGAGTTTTCCATCTGGTGTGGGTGAGTGATAGTCTACTTTGATTTTGGTTAAGTTAGATTATCATTTGCAGTGTAATCAGTGAGGGGATTTTGCAGACTGTTGAGGGTTCAGCCTCCTGATGAGTCGGTGAAACTCCGACGAAACAGTTTGTCACAGTCCCTCGTTTGTTGTCCTCTTCTCTCTCTCTGCCTACGGTTTACCGGGCAGTTCTGTTTGTGACGATATATATATATATGTATAAGTATTTAGGTAGCTCACAGGCATGAGAAAAAGGAAGGACAAACGACTGGGCGAGAACAGAGAGGAAAATACTCAGATGATCCAGGGCCACCTCCAGAGCATGCTCGACTGCATGATGAATGTTCCCTGCCAGGAGGAGAGCCTGATCTGTCTCAGGAGACAGTAGGGCGACTTCAACAGAAGGAGGAAGCTGCCAAGGAAAGAGAAGTGGATAAGATGGTGAGAGTTGCACGAGAAAAGGAGATCAGGGTTCACCTCAGGCTAAAAAACCTGGCAGAAATGAGAGATAAGATGCAGCAAGGGAGTCAGCCAGTGGAGGTGGAAGCCAAGAAGAGAGCTCAGAAGGACGACCCTCCTCTACTCACAGAAGCCTGGGAGAGCTTTGACAGGTTGATGGAGGCTGCAGGCAAACCCACTGAGAGGCATCAGGAGATGGGGGTTAAGTTATTTTCCACAGACTTACTTAGCCCGAAGGGTCTTATGAAGGAAGGGTTTGCAACAGCGAAAGCTTCTGATGAGAAGATAGAGAGACGAGTGACAAAAGTAGCGCAAGCTTCCCATGGTCAGAGGGTGAATTGGGAAAGAGAGATTAAAGACTTGAAGAAGGAGGTGGAAAGGCAAGGAAAGGAGGTGGATGTTGTGAAGACCGAGATGGTGGACACCACGACTGAGAATGGAGCCCTCAAGCTGGTCAACCAGACCCTTAATAAGGTCAACGACGTTCTGAGAGGGCAGCTCCAGGCACAACAAACCTCCTTCCAAGCAAAGGAGGTTGAATAGGAAAAGAGGTTGAGGGATATTGAGGTCAAATGTGCTCAGCAAGTGCCTACAGCAGCACCAAAAAGAGGAGGCGGGGGCAGAGCAGCAAGCAGATGAGGACGTCCCTTTGCTTGACGAAGTCATGCTGGAACCAGATGAGGTACCGAGGAGGAAGGAATCAGAAGCTTGGAAGTTTGAGTGGGAGGCACCTACTTCCTTGGCTACCCAACATGTACCTTTGCCTGCAACTGACAGATAGTTTGAGGAGTCTGTTCAGGTCGAGACCCCTTGCCCTTGAGAGCCCTTTTCAGATTCTACAGAGAGAGCAGTCAGAGGTTCCTCAGGGGACAGTGGTGATGGAAAAGAGCAAGGAAAGCAAGATGGAGGAGTCTCAGAGATTGGCCACACCAGAGAACATGCCCTTGCTCACTAGCTTTGGGGATGCTTTGGGGTCCTGGGCCTTTGGCTCTGATCCAGAGAGACATGGAAGTAGACAAGACTATACAGGAGGGTGGCAGAGGAGTTTGCCCTGGAGCTTCAGAGACTTTTCAACAGGAGGCCACTAGCCAAGCGACAAGCACCCCCTCATTTGCGCTACCCTCATAAGAAATCAAGACAGAAGCAGAACAGAAGAAACCTGAAAAGTGTTTCTACTACAAAAAGAGCAAGCACTTCTCTGATGATTGCCCTAAGTTCTATGAGGCAAAGGGTTTTGTTACCAAAGTATCCACTGGGATTTGGAGAGATAGAAATGGTAACCAAGTTGAGAGATCATGAGAGGGTGGTAGAGCAGTTGTACAAACAGATAGGTGAAATGTTGATTGACTAGGATTTAAACATAGGATCCGGAAAGGTCCAGAGCTAGAAGAGATGACAGACTTGGCACTCAGTCCTGATGGATTTTGTATTTAAAGGAGCACATGGAGGATTGGATCAGACCCATGTACATCAGTGATTGAGTGACTAAGTCACAGGGGACTTTCAGTCTTAGATGTATATCGAGATAACACTGAGGGTAGCCTTTATTGACCTTTCTTTTCTTGAGTGATGTGGAGTGTTTTGATGGCATTTGTATATATATTCAGAGTCTCCTTAGTTAGGGTGTGATGTATGAGGCACGTGTTAGAGTGATGTCGCAGCATGAGGCACGTGTCAGAGTGATGTCGCAGCTACGTTAACATCTAGCATTTGGTTTTTCGATATTTTTCTTACCCTGTATTAGAGAGCGCAAACGGGTAACCGTTGCTCGTACCCGGCCGTACCCGACTGTAACGACCAGGTTATGGGCGGGTATGGGTACCCTTTTCGAAGGGGGAGTTGGGTATGGGCAGGCACAAACAAAAGGTGAGGTTGTTAGGGCGGGCACAATTGCCCTTTTTTGAGATCAAGGGTGGGTAGGGGCAGGTAGGGGTAGGGGTAAGGGGGAAAAAAACGGGTATGGGCGGCCAGAAAAAAAAAATAGACGGGTATGGGCATATGGGCAGGTACACGTGGCCAAAAAAACAAAAGGGGTGGGTACGGGCGGGTAGAGGTTCCCATCGGGTAACCGTGGTATAACCGATGTGAGTGTTGTAGCTTTGCAGGCTTGGATTTTTGCTCAAGCGTAACGCTTTTTCTCATATTCCAAATTTTTCGCTTTCCTATGAAGCAAACGTTTTTTCCCTCAAGGGTAAATTTTATATCTCTTCAGTTTTTTATTGTTTATTTTTTAAAATTTCAGACTATTTTCATATGTGTGTAACCCTGTGTATGTAATATTTATGTGTGTGTGTGTGCGTGTGTGCATGTATATGTGTGTGCGACAGACCGAGGGTTGTTGCATTTGCAGATGCTATACAGGTTGCATAGGCTGTTGTAGCACCAGATGCATCCATAGCAGCATCTGAGCGACTAGATGTAACAAATGTTGTTGTTGCGGCAGTAGCTGCAGCAGCTGCCACATCTCAAAAAACAATTAAAAATAATAATATTAATAATAATGAAAATTACCACGTCAATCCTGTGACGTTCAGGGGGTTGGGGACAGTTGAGGGCTGTTAAGGACAATTAGGGGCGGTTAGGGGTGGTTATAAAAAAAAGAAGACAAAAAGAAAAGAAAGTTAGGTGCGGTTAGGGACAGTAAGGGGCGGTTGTGGGCGGTTAGGGGAGGGTGGGTGATGAGCACGGGTGGTTGCGGGTGGGTGCATACAATTATGGGTAGGTACGGGTGGGTACAGGTAAAGAAAACTTGGGTGGGGTAGGGTATGGGTGGTTAATAAACGGTTTGGGTTCAGGTGGCCATGGGTGGTTTTGAAAAAAATGCTCATGGGTAGGTATGACCAGTTACTTGCTGAAGAGGTTCATGTAGGGTAGGTCTGGGTACATTTTTTTATTCTTCTTCGCGGGTGGAGATGGGTGAAGGTCCGGCAGGCCAGGTATACAGTGGGTATGGGTGGTTGGTTCTCAAAGAGGGTGTGGTTAGGTCAGGTACAGGTATTCCTCAAAATCCCAGTTGCGAACTCTGCCCTGTATAATACGTGTTTTTGTTTTAGATTTCGACAACTTTCGCAAGGCTCCATGCACTGTGCACTTAATGGATTTCATGTGTTGTTTTGTATGGATTTTCACAAACACTCTTAGTCTTGTGATCTTGTCCTCATGTGAATGACTCTCGTGATGTATACGTGTTTTGAGATGATTTGAATTGCAAGGTTTTTCTTTGCACTTAGGGATATCTGGCAAACGGTCGGTGAATCTTTAAACTGCAATGGAAGAGGATGCACCCTTTGTTTTCAACAAAGATTGTTATATCGTAACTTCGAAAAAACTTAACTGATGGTAAATGTGAATGTCACAACCAAAGTTGTGTCTTTTATTGTGTGTAGGGAAGCCTGAAGGTTGGCTAATCCCAAGAAACATGAATGATATTGAGAGAGAGCACCCAAAAGAGGTGCTAAGATTGTGAACATTTTTATGATATAAAAGTCTGACGAGGAAAAACCAAAAATTTTGTGAGAATTATTGCTAGAAATTTGTGGCATTTAGGATGGAATTTTGGAAGAAATTTCGAGAGATGTCCCTAAGACGTGTGCCCAACCTACTGTGATCAAATTAGGAAGGGTCATGACCCTATGGATTGGTGATGGATATCATTTGAATATTGAGAGAAGGCACTATCCCTCCACGTAGTCCCGTGCGCAGTTGGTATGTGTTCCTTTAAATTGCTTGAAAAAAATTGAGAAATCTTGATGATAAGAATGCTTGACTACTATGAAGTCAGTCTAAGGGACATATTTGAGAGACCAAGCTAAGGGGCTATACTTGGCATCATGGGGACAGAACTCCCAATGTGGGCTGCTGACCGACGCAACCTGGCAGCGGGCCCACGACTCACCAAAGGTTAGGTCTTGAAGGGTCGGCCACTCAGAGGGGCCTAGCTCGAGGGAAGGTCATTGGGATCGATTAAGTCTGGAGTCGGGATCCTTCGGGATACCAAGATAGGAAAATCCGCTTATCGTTGTGCAACCAACGAGGGCACCATTGCTAAAATAACGACGTGATGAGCCGTGGAATCGGCATGATCAACCGATCTGCGGTGGGCCAAGATGGAGACCTAACCCACCTGTGCTAGACTCCAAAATGGGAATTTTCAGTATAATGGATATTGATGTGGGGACTGAGGTGCCCCTGTATTTGAGAGAGGTCTCGATTAGGGCCCCCGTCCAAAGCCGTGAGCTCATTCGTGGGATCAGGGCTAAGGACACCCAATGAGAAACTGACGACGTCTAGGACGAAGGGAGAGGACTATCAACCTGCTACCTGGGAGCCGATATTACGCTGTAGTACGCAACAGAGTATCCACTAATTCTGAGGTCAGGATATGGGAGACCCGGGTTAGAACCGTGGCAGTGGAACATCGTGACGGGAGCAGTTTGAGAAGATACCTCGAACGGACGCAGGTCGGCGAATCAGATTGGTTACTTCCTCGTCATCAAATGTGATTTTGTCGAGTTTATACTTTTGACTGCCCCACGCGATGGGGAAGTCGCTTAATAGGGTCCGGAAAACTGTCCGCCTGAATACCCTTACAAGGGTATTTGGGCACATTTGTGCACCTTGCAGAAGGTGCGTTTTTAACGATACTCGAGAGAGTGACCCATTTCCATGTGACCATAACCAACTCTTAGGGGTTGGGAATGGCACAGTTTTTTTATCTGATTAGAGAGAGTGTCGGCGTGCACTTCAAGGGCACGCATGGGTTTTAGGCGGACATTGGATATGTTTATGTCCGCACGTGGTAGCGTGAACTAGAAAGGGAGTGTGAAGAAACTGCAATAGCGCATGCGGTGCGCATTCGCGTTGATACCGGCAGTTGATGATCGGGGCTAAGATTTAGTTATTGAATCCGCTTGACTTATTTGCTACGACATTAGGACCAGTGAGGTGCAAATTTCTTGACTTCCTAGGCCGACCATGATATCGCTCAACGGTAGAAGCCGCGGGCGGCACTATGAAAGTCGAAGTTTTTTCGACGCTGGGGTGGTAAAAGTGCGGTCTTTTGGAATGGTAGCCTAGTGAGAAAGCTGGAGTTTTTGGGTAACGACGCGATTGTGCCGCATGCACGACAGTTGCAGGTAAAACTTACTCCATACGGCAAGGGCCGGCTCATAGGAGCCTTAGAAATGGTCGATGTGCCTAAGTTCGACCTTTAGTACAGTCCGACAGGACCTAGGCCTGAAACGGACGTCTTTATAACCAAGTCCGCGCCTGTTACATCCATGCTTGGGCCTAGCCCTATAGGTTACGACTTTGGACTGACACTACGGAGATCCGGGGATCGAGGCCAGCAGCTGGCAGCGAAGGAACGGAGGAGCGGCTTATGAAGGAAACTGAGGGGTCGAGGGTCCCGCGGGACTATCCCCTTTAGTTTTCCCAGGGAGTTCGATTGCGGGACCGATGGGCAGGACTGAGGGTCTGGTTCCGACGGTCCTTCCCCTCCCGTTGCCGTTTCTGTCCCATTTTGGGACACGGTCCCGATACCAGTGTCGGACCCAAGAGCCTAGCTCCGAGAGTACACCCACGAACTGTTGAAATGCAGACCCGTGTTCGAACTCAGATGATGGAACTTGATGAGTAGAA